TATAGACTATATATATATATATATATATATATATATATATATATATATATATATATATATATATATATATATATATATATATATATATATATATATATATATATATGAGTGTTATATATATATATATATATATATATATATGAAAGTGTGTGTGTGTGTGTGTGTGTGATATGTGTGATATATAATACACTTTCCATCCTTACCAGGCTCTGTCGAGTTCGTTTGTTTTTAGAAAAAAAGTAATCTTTTAAGGGCTAATGACTTCTGGGCTCATTAAGGATAATTAAAGTGTTTTTCTGAAATATTATTACAAAGCGTGCCGAATCCTGACAATGAAAATCGTATTTTTGGGTTCCCCAATCAATGAACAATATTCATTCCATAATGCACAATTACAAATGTCAGTATATTTTGTTTACATAAATATATTTTGCATAGATTGATCAACTTCACATATGACGCGTATTTGTCCAAAGTATAAGTATACATTTTTACTTTCTCGTATATACGAAGTAGGCTCTATAGAGAAAGCCTTGTAATCGAGCAAAAAAAAAAAATGACGCAGAGTTTTGCAAATCTCGACGTTTTACAGCTCCCTGAGTCGGAAAAACATAGTTTTGCAATCTTGTCCGTATGTCTGTGTGTGTATGTGTGTGTGTGTGTGTGTCTGTAAACACGATAACATGAGTACCATTACAGCTAGGTTGATGAAATTTCATATATAAGTATAATATCAAAATCGTAGAATCGTCTCAACTTTTGAGAGATTTCCGATAACCGGAACTTTTTCTACTTTCATTTTTTCATAAGCCTATAACTTGAATACTATTTCAGATAGATAAATGAAATTTCACATCTTAGTAAAAGATCTAATTATCTGCCTCTTTTGAGTAATTTCCTTTAATCGGAAGTAGTAATTTTCGCTATTTCCGATTTCTCAAAAAACGCATGTGAATGTATAAAGTACTAATAATATTCCGCACTATTATGCACATTTTATTTGGAGTTCACTTGGTATGCAATTCTTGTTTCTACGAGATATCGAAAAGTTTAAATATTTAAAATGGATTAAAAATCATGTCTATATCACGAGTTGCAAATGTGTGTTTTCGCTTATTATTTAGTTGACATCGTGTATGTTAGTTCGTTGATATTTTGTGGAAATAAAACTTTCTCAAATATTCTTATTTGAAACAACAGGGGATGTCAACTAAATAATTGGCGAAAAAACACATTTGCAGCGATTATAAACTTCATAGCATTATTTTTCTATTATTTACATAGTAGTTTAAAGCCTTAGTTTCAAATTTCTCCTAAAGAAAGCCCCCTTTCCCGCCCCCACCCTCCACCCTCTAACCTAAAGAAAGCCCCCTTTTCTACACCCACCCTCCACCCTCTAACCTAACGAAAGCCCCATTTCCCTCCCCCACCCTCCACCCTCTAACCTAAAGAAAGCCCCCTTTTCTACACCCACCCTCCACCCTCTAACCTAACGAAAGCCCCATTTCCCTCCCCCACCCTCCACCCTCTAACCTAAAGAAAGCCCCCTTTTCTACACCCACCCTCCACCCTCTAACCTAACGAAAGCCCCCTTTCCCGCCCCCACCCTCCACCCTCTAACCTAAAGAAAGCCCCCTTTTCTACACCCACCCTCCACCCTCTAACCTAACGAAAGCCCCCTTTCCCGCCCCCACCCTCCACCCTCTAACCTAAAGAAAGCCCCCTTTTCTACACCCACCCTCCACCCTCTAACCTAACGAAAGCCCCCTTTCCCGCCCCCACCCTCCACCCTCTAACCTAACGAAAGCCCCCTTTCCCGCCCCCACCCTCCACCCCTAACCTAACGAAAGCCGCCTTTCCCACCCCCACCCTCCACCCCTAACCTTTCCCCTCACATTAGTAACACTATAGAGACGTCGAGCTGTGTTTGTGTTTGCCCAGGTCAAATAAATTTGTCACATGTCATAATTAAGACGGGAAACCTTGGCACCACCGTGTCCAGAGTTTGAACGTTTTGTGCCGGTAAAGTTTCCATTACTGCCATTAGCAGGCTCGCGCCAAGAAAGCTAATTTCTAAAGAGTTTTTTTCTATTGACAAGTGCATCGGAAGTCTCCTAAAGACTCAATTTGAATATTCGATTTGACTGTACAATTCATCTGAATATTCGATCTACCTACCAAATATAAAAATAAATAAGTAATTAGTTATCAATCAACAGTTCAGGAAATCGTCAAATCGGTCATTTATTTAAAATCAGGACCATGAACTTTAAGACGTAGAATGTGCGTAGCAAATGGCAAAGTTTGTTTCAACCATCCTCCACGAACAAAACTGACCTGTCAGAATCCTAACAGAATAGTAACGCCCCACTCGTCCTATATTACCCCAGTGGTCCTGTTTTTCTTTTAAGCACCTCTCACCGCCCCTCCCCCCCCCCCCCCCAAAAAAAAACCCCCGCTCCCGCCCCAGCCCACGCCCCAGCACCTAGACCCAAATAGTTAAAATATATAATTTCATATAGAAATTATATTTTTAATCAAGCGTCCGCCTTAATAGATTATCAATATCAGTTCGGTCGCTATCAGATTAAATATTCTAGTTTGGTTGGCAACCATTAAAACCTAACCACCACAGCAGCAACCATCCCACCACACCACAGCAGCAACCATCCCACCACACCACAGCAGCAACCATCTCACCACAACAGCAACCATCCCACCACACCACACCAGTAACAATCCCACCACAACAGCAACCATCTCACCACAACAGCAACCATCCCACCACACCACAGCAGCAACCATCCCACCACACCACAACAGCAACCATCCCACCACAACAGCAACCATCCAACCACACCACAACAACAACCATCCCACCACACCACAACAGCAACCATCCCACCACAACAGCAACCATCCCACCACACCACAGCAGCAACCATCCAACCACACCACAACAGCAACCATCCCACCACAACAGCAACCATCCCACCACACCACAGCAGCAACCATCCAACCACACCACAACAACAACCATCCCACCACACCACCACAGCAACCATCCCACCACACCACAACAACAACCATCCCATCACACCACCACAGCAACCATCCCATCACACCACCACAGCAACCATCCCACCACAACAGCAACCATCCCACCACACCACAACAACAACCATCCCATCACACCACCACAGCAACCATCCCATCACACCACCACAGCAACCATCCCACCACAGCAGCAACCATCCCACCACACCACAGCAGCAACCATCCAACCACACCACAACAACAACCATCCCACCACACCACCACAGCAACCATCCCACCACACCACAACAACAACCATCCCATCACAACAGCAACCATCTCACCACAACAGCAACCATCTCACCACACCACAACAGCAACCATCTCACCACAACAGCAACCATCCCACCACACCACACCAGTAACAATCCCACCACAACAGCAACCATCTCACCACAACAGCAACCATCCCACCACACCACAGCAGCAACCATCCCACCACACCACAACAGCAACCATCCCACCACAACAGCAACCATCCCACCACACCACAGCAGCAACCATCCAACCACACCACAACAGCAACCATCCCACCACAACAGCAACCATCCCACCACACCACAGCAGCAACCATCCAACCACACCACAACAACAACCATCCCACCACACCACCACAGCAACCATCCCACCACACCACAACAACAACCATCCCATCACACCACCACAGCAACCATCCCATCACACCACCACAGCAACCATCCCACCACAGCAGCAACCATCCCACCACACCAAAGCAGCAACCATCCCACCATACCACAGCAGCAACCATCCCACCACACCACAACAGCAACCATCCCACCACACCACCACAGCAACCATCCCACCACACCACCACAGCAACCATCCCACCACAACAGCAACCATCCCACCACACTACAACAGCAACCATCCCACTACACCACACCTCAGTTGCTGCCCTTGTTCTAAGCTTTAAGCAAGATGGCGGCGTAGGTGGCGCTCCGCTAAACTAAAGTGGCAGGCGTTTACCGCTCCCCCCACGCACGCATTAGTGCAGCACGCACGTCCCGGCATGGCTAGGGACGGGCGGTCGGAAGCCGAGAGTTTTTCGATGTCCGCCCTAAGTAACAAGTCCTCACCTACCTAAAGCCGCGTAGGAATTCATTAACAAACTGGACCTTTTTTTCCAGCAGTTTCCAGCACTGTTCTATAGAGTAAAACACATATTTCCCAAGTAACATTCCTCTAACAGTCATCTTAGATATATATGAAACTCAAAGACACAAGAATTATACCATATCCTATTATTTCCGTCTAGTAAACTCAGACCTAAAAGAACTATAACACACTAAAGTCACGCGTCTAACAAACCTGATACTTCCATATAAGACAAAGATACTCAGAACAAATGTAACTAGATACAAAGTTGTAACTATTTATTTATCACATAACTGTCTTTCACTAACCGATGTAAGGTATATGAAACTTTTACCGATATGTCAACTGTCATTTGAGCTAAAACGAAAGTGTGTGATGAGTGAAGGGTTATGAGTGATTATGGTTATGTTCTTTGTTTAGGCGTATTTAATTAAAACACATACATACACATATGTAAAAATAGAAATGTACACCCAATTATATGGACACACATACATTATATATACATGAACATTACACACACATTTACACATCTGCATATTTACACCAACACATTTCGCTACACCACTAAAGAGTTGTTAATAACAAATCTGAAAAATTCAAAGTTATCCGAATGCAATAACAGGACTTGGGAAGGGGGAGGGGGGTCTAGTGAAATAAGACATGCTCTACGCCTGCTACTGTGTCAACCAATAAAAAGCTCGCTTTTTGACCACGTGAGTAAAGATGAGCGGGCGCTGGGCCTCTGTCAATCGTCTATTTATAGCAACGGGAATATTTCATTTTTTCCCGTCCAAGAGTGTGTAGATCTCTAGCGCATACTGTCCCACTATGTCTAGGGATCATTAGGCAGGGAGGGCATTCGAACGGCGGAAGTTGGTGTGTATTTATAGTCCTATGTTATCGATGTATTGATAGGTCAAGCTATTTTTAGACCGGCCCGATAGATTCAAGTATCCAAAAGACAAGTCTGACACACAGGTGAGTGATAGATTTACTTTCTGAAACTGTAAGTCAGTAAGTTATTATGTTTTCACATCCCCACATCTAGACCTAGACACATATGAAACGTACCATCGCATATGTTGACGCAGTTATTATTTTTTATTTATGTCTTAACCTATTCAGGTGAAACTATAGAAATCGAAATTTGCATCAATTGCGTTTGACTCTCTAAAGAGGGTTTAATTTATTTTCAAATATCGTGTACAGCGTTATTTAAACAAATGTGATCACAAAACCTCGATTATGTGTAGTTTATTTCAATGTTGTATACATTCTGATGATTGTCTCTTAAATATTAAGTAATTTAAAAAATAAATTGTACTCAAACCAAAAGAATAGTTTGTATTGCTGGTCGCCACATTGTTCCAAAACATACGCAATAACAAACTCGTAAAATGTAGAAGAAAATACGGAAAATGTGGTATGCAATCTTAACGAGTTTTTTTTTCTTTGAAACGCCGTAAAGCACTAAACATTAAAACAAACTTTTTTTATCCCCTTATCAAAACATTTACCTAAAAATTATAGCACAAACGTAATGGTGCTCTGGATTAAATATCCAATTAATTAAATTTTGTTTTATAGAGATAACGACGGAAAATGGTGCTCAATAATAAACAGCAATGTCGTCTCAGATTTTAAATACATTTTTTTTCTGCATTTGCAAACTATATTGCGCAAATTCTTAAACTATTACATTTCTCCACTTTCAATCTTTAATTAGATCTACATATTCTGAAAGTTTAAGACGACTAAAACGATAAAATAAAAACAATATTTTTTTCGTCAAGGTAAGCGGGAATAATGGGGTCAATGTCAGCACTTCTGGCAGACGACATTCATTTTACTTTTGTTTCTCTAGGTTTGTCTTTTGTTTCTCTAGGTTTGTCTTTAGTTTCTCTAGGTTTGTCTTTAGTTTCTTTAGGTTTGTCTTTAGTTTCTCTAGGTTTGTCTTTAGTTTCTCTAGGTTTGTCTTTAGTTTCTCTAGGTTTGTCTTTAGTTTCTCTAGGTTTGTCTTTAGTTTCTCTAGGTTTGTCTTTAGTTTCTCTAGGTTTGTCTTTCGTTTCTCTAGGTTTGTCTTTAGTTTCTCTAGGTTTCTCTTTAGTTTCTCTAGGTTTGTCTTTCGTTTCTCTAGGTTTGTCTTTAGTGTCTCTAGGTTTGTCTTTAGTTTCTCTAGGTTTGTCTTTAGTTTCTCTGGGTTTGTCTTTAGTTTCTCTAGGTTTGTCTTTAGTTTCTCTGGGTTTGTCTTTAGTTTCTCTAGGTTTGTCTTTAGTTTCTCTAGGTTTGTCTTTAGTTTCTCTAGGTTTGTCTTTAGTTTCTCTAGGTTTGTGTTTATTTTGTTTAAAAACCAGTTTCATTTGCGCCAAAACAAGCGAACCTAATGACTATAATTATACCAACATTTTAGTTTATTTATAGAGCCATTACTTAATTAATTGAGCCACCTGTTTCCAATCAAAGAGCTGAGTGCGGATCTTGAGCCGCTATTTATGAACGTGTGATGTAATATATTTGTAATGTTCAGTTGTTATAAAGACATGTAACAAATGTTTTTTTACATGTACATGGGTCAAATTTTACAGTGGGAATTATAAACATACTGGTATAAAACATCGTATAAATGCTGATGAATAAAAAAAAAGCAAAAACATTTTTTTTTATAATTTTAACACATACTTTAGATTCTTGATATTTATTTCTCTTTAATAAAAAAAATGTCTAAACATTTAATAATAATTGAAATTTGGCAATTTACAAATTTTAATATAGCCTGAACTTTAAACCATAGCATTGTAATAAACTTTTTTTCAAATTTAAATAGACTACCGATTGTTTTTAAAACTAGGTTTGAAAACTTGTAAACTTATCAATTATCGTCACAATGCTATTCGTTTAGTTCCGGTTGTAGATACTAAAGCCAACTAGTGTTTTAATCATTCCCAAGAAAATCGGTTTGTATTTGGGAAATCATTCGTCTAAATCAGTGGTCTCCAAACTACGACCCGCGGGTTCCTCTCATCTTGCCCGCGGACATCTTTTTGTCCACGGAAAAATGTTTGTTGGAGGTGCCTAAGGAACTTTGCCCAGAAAATTCAAAACAATTTGAAAATGTAGCTTAGGGTGCAAATACCATTGCCCGCCGTGTTGCAGACATTGGTGAAAACATTGTGACTCTCTCTCTCGTCACTCAAATAGCGAAAAATGCATGCAAGTTTTGCCATTTTTCAAATGCAATGGATGAGTCGCTGAAATTTATATATATATAAAAAGTAGCAGTTCGTTGAACGGACGAAACTCTAAAGTTCACAAGGAAATAGAACAAAAGTAGCAGTTCGTTGAACGGACGAAACTGTAAAGTTCACAAGGAAATAGAACAAAAGTAGCAGTTCGTTGAACGGACGAAACTCTAAAGTTCACAAGGAAATAGAACAAAAGTAGCAGTTCGTTGACCGGACAAAACTCTAAAGTTCACAAGGAAATAGAACAAAAGTAGCAGTTCGTTGACCGGACAAAACTCTAAAGTTCACAAGGAAATAGAACAAAAGTAGCAGTTCGTTGAACGGACGAAACTCTAAAGTTCACAAGGAAATGGAACAAAAGTAGCAGTTCGTTGAACGGACGAAACTCTAAAGTTCACAAGGAAATAGAACAAAAGTAGCAGTTCGTTGACCGGACGAAACTCTAAAGTTCACAAGGAAATAGAACAAAAGTAGCAGTTCGTTGACCGGACAAAACTCTAAAGTTCACAAGGAAATAGAACAAAAGTAGCAGTTCGTTGACCGGACAAAACTCTAAAGTTCACAAGGAAATAGAACAAAAGCACCAGTTCGTTGACCGGACGAAACTCTAAAGTTCACAAGGAAATAGAACAAAAGTAGCAGTTCGTTGAACGGACGAAACTCTAAAGTTCACAAGGAAATACAACAAAAGTAGCAGTTCGTTGACCGGACGAAACTCTAAAGTTGACAAAAAACAACGTATGAGATCTTATGTAGAAATCTAGGGGATTTCGCCTACCCAACGAACGGAAATTAAGCTACCGGTATTTTAGAAACCGGGCATAAAACAACATTTCGTTAAGCGGAAAGCTCGATTGAAAGTAATAAAAGAATACAATTTTAAATTTATATGTGACATTTCATTTACCTAACAAAATAGTAGAACTACCCATGTTCGTGTATCCCCAACGGAAACGGAATGAAATTCAAGTAACTGAAATTGCCATTTAAAAATAAAAATTAAAAAAACCCTGCAAATTGTATATAATACTTATATATTAAATTTCGTTTATCTAACTGGAACTTTACTCAAATTAATGTGTTCACACACAGACAAACATGCACACACAGATGGAGAGAGAGACAGACAGACATTCAGACAAGATTACAAATAACTCAAGAAGATGTAAAACGATTTTCACACGATTAAAATTCTTCCTGTTTTATCCGTATAAGAGAAATTAAAATACTTTGTGTTTTTACTTTCTCGTATATACGAAGTATAGAGAAAGTATTGTAATCGTGCACAAAAATCACTTGAAATTTTAACAATTTTCACCGTATTACACCTCAGTCCTTCATCACATCCGAAGTACAGAGGACTTATTTTAATCGGGCAAAAATTATCAATCCAGATTTATCAAAATTAAGAGGTTTTATGCGTAATCCATTCTGAAAAACTGGGCTTTGCAATTCTGTCCGTATGTCTGTGTGTCTGTGTGTGTGTGTGTGTCCGTGTGTAAACACGATAACTTGAGTACCGTTACAGCTAGTTTGATGAAATTTCATATATAAGTATTTAATCAAAATCGTAGATCCGTATCAACTTTTGAGCGATTTCCGATAACCGGAAGTGGTACTTTTTCTACTTTGAATTTTTCAAAAGCCTATAACTTGAGTACTATTTCAGATAGATAAATGAAATTTCACACGTAAGTAAAAGATCTAATTCTCTACCTTCTCTCAAATTTTGAGTAATTTCCGTTGAACGGAAGTAGTAATTTACGCTACTTCCGATTTCTCAAAAACCTAATGAAAATTTTTAAAGTACTAATAATATTGCGCACTATTATGCACTTTTTTTATTTGGCGTTCAATTGGTGTGCAATTATTTTGTCTACGAGATTTTATTCTATTTTTAAAACTTTAAGTCTTTAAAATGAATTAAAAATCATGTCTATAGCCCGAGTTCCCATCACCTGTTGTTTTATATAAGAATATTAGAGAAAGTTTAGGGGAGATCACTCCCGGTTTATTTATAACCGTTGTTTTTTTTTTTGGGGGGGGGGGGGGGTTTCGAATTGTGTGTTGTCTGTGTAATATTGTCACTAAATGTTAACTGTGTGATCTCGATTGGAGACGCCAGAGTTAGTCACGCGATGAATATTCACTGTGTATGGCATTCTGACATTTCTACATTGACAGCTCTCCCCTGGTTTAGTTGTGTTCCTTAGTATAGCGTCCATGTCCCCCCCCCCCCCATAGTACAGCGTCTATGTCCCACTCACCTAAGTTCATCGTCCATGTCCCGCCCCCTTAGTACAGCGTCTATGTACCGTCCCCTTAGTACAGTGTCTATGTACCGCCCTTTAGTACAGCGTCTATGTCCCGCCCCCCTCAGTATATCGTCTATGTCCCACTCACCTTAGTACATCGTCTATGTCCCGCCCCCCTCAGTACATCGTCTATGTCCCACTCACCTCAGTACATCGTCTATGTCCCACTCACCTCAGTACATCGTCTATGTCCCACTCACCTTAGTACAGCGTCTATGTCCCACCCCCTTAGTACAGCGTCTATGTCCCACCCCCTTAGTACAGCGTCTATGTCCCGCCCCCCCCCCCCCCTTAGTACTTCGTCTATATCCCGCCCCCTTAGTACAGCGTCCATTTCCCGCCCCATTAGTACAGCGTCCATGTCCCGCCACCTTAGTACAGCGTCTATGTCCCGCCCCCTTAGTACAGCGTCTATGTCCCG